AAATAAGCCTTTCATTTTCTCATATTATAGTATAATATTTTGGAAACATATCAATTTATGTCTTTAAGTTATTCAGCTGTCTAATCATTCATTAAATGGGTAATATGACGAGTGTGGAACAATTTATGAGCTAACGTCTCAACCAACACTCACACCACATGATAAAAAAAAATTAAAAAAATTAAAAAACTCATCGTAGAGCTTCAGTGTCTCCTAAATCGATGCTTCTGTATCCTAAAACGATAGCCAATCACACAATTTGGTCCAATTGTGCAAGCTTGGCTTATACAACAAATCAAAAATGTCCTACTGCTATATATAATACATCATCAATACAATGATACATTAGACATTTAAACGAATTAAGGAGTGTAATTTGACACAACTTTAAAACTTCGTAATTCAATATAATAAAATTCAAAACTCATAACCAATTTTGAAAACCACCTTAAAAATTTAAAGCGTATAAATTTAGTAAGCCCAAAAAAATTAAAGGTACTTAGTAAAAATTCTACTTTTACCATAGTTTTCACTTTTCATATAATATTTGTATTACCTTTATAATAAAAGTGAAACCCACTTATATCGCTAAACCCTATATCTGCTAAAGAGGTAATACAAATATAATAAATGTAAATTACTCGTTTCTTAGTAAGGTCAAATCGTAAACCTACCTCCATTGTTCCATCAAATTACAAGTGGAGTAGCTTAAATTATTGAGTTTTGTCTACAACACTTCTTCTAGAACTTTTGGCCCACAACCATGTGAAACTTGGTCCGTACTATCTTCCATTAGTCCACTCGTGTCCCAAAATATTTGTATTCAGTTTTGTTTTTGTTTGAGCCTTGGGCCTTTTTCCTGGGTCGGTTCCTTGGGCTTAGACAACTCTCTCTTTTCACATTTGACATGCTATATATTTTGAGTAATGAACCGTTTCAGAAAGAAAACAAACTTGTGTTGATGAAATAGATAGATCGACATAATTGACAGTGACAAGATCGATAGGGACGGATCAAGGGAAAGGTATAGAACACCCTTGTGTATATTTGGTAATGAGGTAAACAATCACGGGATGACCTAGTGGTTGGTATGAATTCCTGGCCCGAATTTTACATGGCACATCCTAGGTTCGATTCATGGCACTGGTGAATCACACACTGGTGGCTAAAGGGAGACTGAAATACCTGTGTGAGTCTTTCCGGCCCCTAGAAGAGCGGACTAGCATGGCGAAGCCACCAACTGGTCCCCTTTTAAAAGAAAGAAGGTGATGAGGTAATGTAGATATTCTCTCTATGTGTTTGATATGTCGTTTATATATTCAATTAGTTGTTATGGTTCTTGTTCATCTACACACCCATTTCTTGAAACCAAAAAAAGGACTACAATATTAGAACTTGTACGAAATTAGATGTGTCTTGATTTGCTTAGCTCAATTTGATCAACGTGAAATGGGTCAATTTTATAGATCAAGGGAATGGTGGTTGATAATCTGGCAAATAATATGAACTTTAATTTCTATGGGCAATGTTGTGTTTGATGATATCTCTAAGGTTATTTGGATTCGGGTTGTTTCTTTATGTTGATTTTTCCTTTTGTTTAGTTTTTGCTTGGGCCTTAAGCCCACTTCGCTTCATTTTTTTTCCTCGGTTTGAGAATTTGGATTTTTATTGAAATTGTGAAACTCAAAAGTTGGGGATTATGTACAATTTTTATAGGGTCAAATATAATTCATGTGAATGTAAAAAATGTTTCAGATTGTAGAGGAATGCTGAAAACACAAAATGCTTGGTTTTCGAAAAAAAAAATGTGTTAAAGGATCGTAGGTACTGAACAAGGAAGAAGATGAGTATGATGGAGAAATAAAATTTCTTACTTGAGGACCACCCTGGGACTCTTGTGTTCTTCTTTTCCATTACTAATTCATCATCCATTAAACACCTAGGAAAGGAGAAATCAAATTCATCTGCCAAGAGATATGCTTATGTGATGAACAATGACAGCAATAACAGGATAAATTAGTAATTGTATGTTACAACTGAACATAAAAATTAGATGGAGGGCTATCAAAATAACAATTAGTACTTAGTAATTGTATGATATTCGATCATTACCTATTTTTAATTTTGAAAATTAAGACTTTGTTAAATCAAAGAAGAAACCGGGATTAAATGTTTACTAATTATGAATACAACTCATCGTTCAGGATGTATATAATTTTTAACAAGCCCACGGTTTTAATAGGATTAGAGAGTTTGAATTTCTTCTAGTTAAATTTGCGTTTTGATTAGGTATGTGATTGAACCAATGAAATTCTTCCATTCAAACATAATAAAGAGAAGAAGCCATCGAAGATGGATTTTAACTGTGGGAATAATTAATTAAAAAACTTGACGAACAAGTGAGCTTTCTCTATCACTGACTTTTATATTATATACATCACAAACATGAATTTTGTCCATGTGTATGACCAAATAAATGAAGAAAATATTGGACAAGTAAATTAACCAATCTCTTTCGTGCCTTACATTCTAGTGCATCAAGTTTGGAAGCCGCACATTGAATTAATGGAACCAAACAGACAAAAAAATATTATTATAACTAATCCAGTAGACTAGTCGCTTAGTATTATGGTCTACTGGTATTTTTCTTCACTTGTAAATAAGATGTCTTAAGTTCGATTATGTCAAAGACGAATTTGAACTACTTTATTGCTAGTTCATTATGAGGCTAAGCTCACCCTTCCCCCTTAGTATAGATAATATCGTTTGTTAAAAAAAAAAAAAAAAAAAAAAAAAAAAAAGTGATCAAGTAGACTAATCAGATCATCTCCCAGGAATAGTTTTAGCTACAACTTTTTTGCAGTCGTGGCTCTCTCCATTGCCATTCACCTTTGCAATTCCTATAGTATCCAAAAATGCATTTCCTTTTTTAGTCTTCTTTTTTGACGCCTACAATGCTAATCACCACATGCCCTTTGAAAATAAGTCCTTTTCTAATTACAACTAAGCAATCAAGAGCAAATGTTTACAACTTTACATGCATGCATCTAGTCAAAAAAAGTAGAAGAACCAATGAGACACGATTACATCCCACACATAATTTGCATCACACTTTTAGGCATGAAGAGCAACAAAAGGGGCAACACCTCTTAAAGGCCGTTTGATAACACGCATCTCGTTTTCAATTTTATTTTTTTCAATTGTGTTCCCTTCCAACAAATTAAAAAATACGATCCAATCTATTACAAGCATGAGCAGGCACGTACATAAAAGAATATGACCGCATCTGTTTGCCTTCCAACGCTTCTTCCTTTTTTTTTTCCGTTGCCTAATCCTAGATGGAATGTAACGATGTAGGAATTCATATGTTAACATAATACCTATTTAGATATACTCGAATGACCACTTCTCATTATTAACCCTATTCTGGTCTAATTCGGTATGGAATGAACGTATAATCATGAAACTGACTTGATCATCATGTTATGGATTATGAATTCATAACCCTGATCCAGTCCCATTTTGGACGTACCAACAAACCTATTAATTCTTGTACAAGCTAATTTTAAAGTCTAGCCATGAAATGACATTACCTAACAGAGCAATCAATATTCTAAAAATAAACAAACACAAGATAAGAGTGCTGATAAACCCACCCCATTATCTTATTTCTTCACCCACATTTTAATGAAAATATTAGAGACATGTTTATCCTTCTAGAAAAAGACTTTTAAACCTTACCCATTTTCTCTCCCTCACCGTCTCTCTCTCTCTTCATCTCCAGTTTTCTCTTTCATTTCATCTCTCTCCTCGACTTCAACCGCCACGACTGAAGAGGTTGTTGGTCTAGTACTTTCATTGTAGCTTCATTGTAGGCTTCCTTTACCCTTGTGTCATTTTTTCCCTAAAATTCATTTCACGTCCTAATACTTAGATACAATTAAATCTCGAACATGGGGTGGGTCTGGGATTTTGCCCTTGTATCATTTCAATAGGGATTTTGGGTTGGCGAGGTTGAAAATAGAGGCAGAAGGGGAAGAGGGATGGGATGATAAGGGGGAAGAGGGTTAGTTGTCCTTCACGGGCTACTCTTTCTTCCCTACTTTGTCCCTTGACTCGCAACCATGGCTACCAATTAACGAATTTTGCTGCCAAAAGAAGTTGAGGGAAGGATTGGGGTGCAAAGAGTACAATGAAGAGGTGGTGATGTGATATAAGGTTATTTTAGGAATAATAGTGGGTGGAGAAATGGGATTTTAGTTTTTAATTTTTTTATAATATGTGAAATTATACTGTGGATGGAAAAATAGGACAATAAGATGGGTCTATCATCATTAGCTTGGACATGGTTGCTACTTTTCACTTCAAATAACTGTTCCTATAATACTCAGCCACTTTGATGCATTTTGAAGGCATTATTGCTGTCCTAAAAATAGAATTTTGCCGGATTGAGAAAACAAACCTAATAGTTTTTCGTGTCAAATGTTCTAGAAGAAGACCATATATTATTTTGTAGGATAAAATTACTCGTGTATATCCAGCTCCAGCTACACAAGCCGCCTTAACTAATGGATTTTTTTTTTCAAAAATCCACACCAAACATTTACAGCCAACAAAAAGAATCAAACTCCCGTAAACACATGGGCACCATTGCCACACCCAAACCCTACATCACCATTAATCATCACATTCAACACCAAATAAACGACAAATTATCTTTTTTATTGAAAAAAAAATCCTAAATAATTATTTTTTAATGAACGATAAGATTATTACACTAAAATTTATCTAAATTAACAGCGGATGAGATTCGAACGAGGATACTGAGAGAGAACAACACTACTCTTAACTAATTTCATTAAACCCAAATCCGCCTAAATAAATCCTTCTAATCCTCCGAAAAAAAAAATTATTTTCCTAGTGGGGTTCCACCCTCGTCATTAGTCAACCTTCAAAACTCCTTGCCTTTGAGCCCACACGACTCAGTCAATCCTTCGTTTCATTCCCTCTTTGCTTTATACCTCTGCACAAACCTCATGGAGTAGCGCCAACCCTTTTTTTCTTTTTCTCACCTTCCTATTTTTTTCTTCTCTTTGGACCAACAAACCTTAATAACTTGCCAGTCATGAAATACAACATTCATGCCGTCTTGCTATGGATTCTCAGCTTCCTCCTGTTGTCGCAGCTGATCACAGCCCAAACCGCAGCGCCTTCTCCGCCGCAAGCCAACGGCTCAAGCTCGTCGAAATTCGACATCAAGATGGCGGTGGTGATGGTGGTTCTCGTACTTGTATTCTTCATCTTGGGCTTCCTCTCCGTCTACACCCGTCAGTGCGCCCAGACCCGCCTCCACGGGCGCATGGTTCGAAACGGTTCCCGCATGGCGCGTGGCCTTGACCCCGCCGTCATCGAAACCTTCCCCGCCTTCATATACTCCGATGTCAAGGCGCTCAAGCTCGGGCAGGACGCTCTTGAATGTGCCGTATGTTTACAGGAGTTTCAAGACCATGAAACGCTGCGTTTGATCCCCAAGTGCGATCACGTATTCCACCCTGATTGTATTGACACGTGGCTGCTCTCTCACTCGACTTGCCCGGTTTGCCGGACTTACCTGGTTCCTAAACCCGGAGAAGAGCCATACACTTGGGTTGATCCGACTGAAGAGGATATCGAGTCGGGTCAACCTGAGACTGGGCCGTGTACGGCAGAAGCACCCTCACCTCCACTACCGTCGCATATGCCACCCCGCCAAGTGTCAGTTCGGATGGTAGAAGATCAAATCAAAGAGGAGGAATCTCCATCTCCAGCACCTCCAGTGTTTATCAATTTGGTGAATGGAAGTGAGGCAACCAATCAAAGAGGCCCACCTCGGTCTAGGTCAACGGGTTTTGGACCGCCTCGGTCGAGATCAACGGGGATGCGGTTCACCGGGATATTATTTCCACGATCACATTCGACCGGACACTCGCTGGTTCAACCGGGTGAGAACGTCGAAAAGTTTACACTAAGATTACCGGACGAGGTACGGGCTCAACTTGTGAATTCAGCCTTGATTCGTAGCAGGAGTACCAACGTGGCATTCCCAAGGGCCGGCAGTGTGAGAAAAGGTTTAAGAAGTGAGAGTGGGCGTGGAAAAATCCCCGGTTTGTATGAACGGTCTGACCCAAGTTCGCGTTCGAACCGGTCGGGGCGATCGAGCCGCTGGGCTTTCTCATTGTTGCCGCCTTTTATGTCTCGGAACGGGTCCGTTAGGAACCAAGTTGGTGATAACGACGCTGCAACTGTGTCGGCAGCCGGGCCATCCGAATTGAATAGAGCACCGTTGGACAATAATGGTGGCGATCAACGATCAACTGATGCCTTGCGGCCGAAGGATCGTGTTTAAACAAGGAATACGTTTAGGTAGTTTGAGTAAATTGAAATTTTGTACATTTTTTTTTTTAAATATAGTTCATTTTCTTTGTTTTTATTCATTTCAAATTAAATTGTGAGAGGGAATACATGTAAGATGATGTGGTACCTACTAGTTTCAAAATTTTGAATATGAAATTTTGATTTGTTGTGACAAAAAAAATTGAATACGGATGCCTTGCTAACTAATAATGTTGGAAAATTACTATTCTTTTCAGGAGACTCGTCCTAATTTTGGTGTAAAATGAAGTTTATGTTACTACTAGAAATAGAGGATTCCATGGATTCTTTTTTTTTTTTTTTTTTTTTTTTTTTTTTCTGATGGGTGAGTTGATGTTTGTTTGTAAGTTGATAACTTGATGGGCATAGGGTTTCCATACAAAATATCCCATTATAAAATCCGAAACGTTTTTCGCTTGCGATTAGCATATTTTTACCGTACAATTTTTTTTTGAATCTTCCATTTTTTTAGTTATCACTTAAATATCATCTTGTTTGGGTAATTTTGGACCGAAGGTAACAAATGGGCCGAGACTCTTGATCCAGTGGTAGTAAGGGGGATCATGGGCCGGCTGGGTACTGGGGGTTGTCTAGTTGTTTGTCGATTGAGTCCCTTTGTGAGAAGGATTGATTTGGATAAAGATGAAGGATGAATCCTTAAACCCCTAGGAGTGTTAAAGCTAAAGGCACTAAGGAGCACGGAAAGAACCTGGTTTGTTGTAAAGATGTGTTCAAAGTCCTAATTAAAGTAAGATTGGCCGAGTCTTAGTTAGATCAGGATAAGGAGTCCTAGTCCGAGTGAGGTTCTAACTTGACTGGAAGTAGGTTTGCTCCTATAAATACAGAGGATGAACACACATTCAGCCTCTCCAATTCAACACACAAACTGCCCTGCGCAAGTTCTTACTCTACACGAAACCTCTTAACAACCTTGAGATTTTTCATTTTCTTTTCCGCTGACACATCTTCAGTTTGGATAAACAGCACTACGTCGAGGCCAACTAGTTATCTATCCAAGTCTTGGTCGAGAAGGATTTGCGAATCCTTATTGGTATAGGTCATCTCATTAGCCTTCTCGGCGAAGTGAGGTGTTACAAATTACTGGGCTTGGCACATTGAATGCCGAGTTGTTTATGATTGGTTACTCACAAGTAGGGTTTAGAGTTCGACATTCTGATGGCCGAACCACATTTACCATCAAGACATATATTTCCTTTGAGTACTTGTGTCCGTACAATTTGGAGCCAGTTCGGCGTGCTTATACTCTCACAAATATAATCACCATGAACGCACCTGGTGCCAACGATCCGTGAACTTCGCAGGACTAGCAACCTTGTCTTCAGGCTCTAGAACCTGAAGGCCGAGAATGTTCCTTCCTCGGCCGCAATCGCAAGATCGAGAAGTCAGCAGCGTACCCAACGCAACATCAACTTATTTTACTCCTCGACCGACGAGTTGGCACGCCTGCACATAACCAAAGGACGTAGTTAGCTCATTAGTTACGGCCTGCGCGTCACGTAGGCTTGGTAGTTTTTAGGGTCAACACATCTCTATAAAAAAAATCAATCCAATCGGTGATCATTTGGTTATCCAAATGTATAGAACAAATCAACAATTTTGTATCAAGTAACATCTTCATGATGAACTGTCAATTTCACTTTAGACATATAAATGTCTAAATGGTCTCCGAGTTGATTAATTTTTTTAAAGATAATCTTTAAACGATTTTGATTGTGAAAATTGTATGGTGAAAAGACGTTAATTGCAAGAGGTGAACAACTGTGATGAATGCAAACCTATGTGAGCAATTGGAAATAGAACATTCATTGGAAGATTGAGAGAAATTGTGTAATATCTCAATCCTTCATAAAGTAACATAAACATGAAAGTTACCGTTGGACACTAAACAATTAAAATGTCTGTGGGCCGTTATCATAAATATATTGGGATGGTCAAAGCATTTTTTGTGCTGCAAATTAATACAAATTAATATAATTTAAATAAGCAAATGTAATAAAAAAATATATTTTAGAATAAAAATAAAGGAAAACTAATGAAAAGGGTTTGAAAACTTTGAGTTTTAATGATAAGGACAAAATAAAGGGTAAAGTGAATAGTACTATAATTGACTTTTTAGTGTAAAAATGTGGTTTTTCGTTAAAATGAACAGTACCGGGTGCTTTTCGTTAAAGTTCCCTAAAAATAAAGCAAATGTAAGAGTTTGGCAGTGCTGTGATTTTTGGTCTTCTTTGATTGCTGGGCTCACGTTTTATATGCAGAGAATCAAACCATATCCAGTTTGTATTCATGTGTTGAAAGTCAATGTTTACCAACTATTTAAATAAAATTTTGTTTTCAAGTGCGTTTCCAAACCAATGAAGAAAACAACATTATAAAAGAATAAAGACTTCGATGTGATCCAAGTCTGCGGACAGCCAACGCACCCTTCTTCGAGCAATCATCTGTTTTTCTAGATTCCAGACGTATGCAAGATGAATAAATTATTTAGTCGTTTGCTGTTTATTGTAATCTAAAATGCGAGGAAAAATGTATTTTTGTCATACCAATTTTATCGCATGGCAATGTTTATTCGATGGATAGTACGTTTTTTGATATATGACAAATGTTAAACTTGGTTGCATGGGAGAATATTTTATTTAGGAGAAAAACTTTTGCATTACTTAACTTGTTACTGAATTATACTGAGTAGAACTTCAATCCCCTCAAAAATTGACACGTACTAATTTTTAAATATTATTTCTTATTTATAATTCATATTAAAAGATTTCAGAATACACACATTAGTTCTAAATAGGAAATATAAACAATTAAACTATAAACTTATCTCCTTCAGAATTCAATGGAAAGGATTGAGGACGTTCAGATTCGTCGGCAAGTTTTTCCTCTATATGGTCCAATATTTTTTTTCTTTTCAAATTATGATCAAATTAATTGAAGAGACGCTATGTTCTTGACGGATCTAAAAGAAGTTTAAATTGTTGACGAATATGATCCTGTTTACAATACTAAGTCGAACCGTAGCATTCAAAGATCAAATTATCAGAAGTTAAAATTGTATTTTCATAGCTCCCTGGTCTCCCTTTTCCTTGTAAATGTTGAAAGAAAATTATGCAACTAATTAAACGGATAAATTTGTTAAACAAAACAAGTATGGAAAAATGCAATGGACTGATTAATATAGGATCAAACCTAAGATGTGATGTTGCTGCTGCCTTATTCATATGTGAATGTGCTTAACAAAACCAAAACCCAGGATTAAACCTCTTGGCTACGGCCCCATTCTCAATTTCTTGGGCTAGCTCTACCCTCCAGTTTTGGGATCGAGTGGTTCTGTGTATACCCAAATTTCATCTTTGTACATTTATTAATTTTATCTAAACGAAAAAGATGCTATCCCATATATATATATAATTACTACAAAGGGCTTAGTGATTACTCAAAAAAAAATAATAATTATTTTCTTTGGAAATCTGTGGAGTTTTGAAACAAACAACATGATAACCAAGTGACTGATTAATTTCGCGGTTGTTGAGTCACTTCGAAAACGTTCTTTGTTCCTCATATTTTGTCTGATTATAATGCAAATTTTGCTTCATGAAATAAAAGAACCATGCAGTCATATATAAAACAGATAATTATGCCATCAGCGAAAATTCCTTAATTGACGAGAAAGCCTTTATAATTTGTACATAGAAAAGACTGTGCAAAGAAAATAAAAAGCAGGTGTCTAGAGAGAAATAAATTCATAAAAAGGTAAAAGAAGTGTACTCTTGAAAGTTTAGTAAATTATATTGCATTAATCTCAGTTTATTACTTTTAAGTTTCGTGGTTTTCAACATTTAGTACATGAAGTTTTTTTCGTCCAGAGTCATATCTAAAGTGTTAATTTTAGAATAGTCTCATACATCCGTTAATCTGACTGTTAAGTTTCCTGTTAACTGATGACCTGATGTCTACGTGGACAATGACTGAACGTTACGTATCAATAAGGGTCCCATGTGGATATTAAAAATAAATAAAATTAAAAATTAAACATTAAAAAGTTAAAAAATTACAAAATTACAAAAAAAAAAGTGTCTTCTTCCTCAAACCCCCAACCCCCCTCCCTTTCCCCTCCATTCTCTCCTCTGCACCTACCATGGTCTAAAATATCTATAATATCCCGATATTTCCATCGAAATTTCCGTGTTTTTGAACTACTAATATTTTTTTGGACTACCGATATTTCCGATATCATCGATATTTTAGACCTTGCTAAGTCACTCATGTATCTTACCATGTAATGTATAAAGTGTAAAATATTGTACTAATTCATTATATATAAATGATTATGGTGTGTTTAAACTTCTTTCATTAATTACTACATATTTTTTACAATCACAATGTTTGTCAGCTCGCTATATAATCAACTTAAATCAGTTATATCTATCATGCAATGCATTTCCTTCCAATTTTTTGTGATAAACTAATAGATAATTGACTAAATAAACATCCTGCAAAGTTTCAATAAAAATTTTCAAGTTTTTCTTACAATTTCCGTGGTTTTTATTCAATTTTTATCGATATCGATAATATCCCGATATTTCCATCGAAATTTCCATGTTTTTGAACTACCAATATTTCCGATATCATCGATATTTTATACATTGGCACCTACCCAACCTCTGCACATCCTTCCTTCCCCCTCCCTCTTCGACTCCACCCACTCAACCCTCATCCTCTTCGACGACCCTGTAAGCTCGAAGGAGCATGCCCCACCTACCAGATTTGATGGCAAATTTCGAGAAATCGACCGCAAATCTGGAGAGCTTGTCAGCCTCGACATCAGTGATTCCATGCTCAATCTGCAAAAGAACCTCCACCTTCTGAGCACCGAACAGGTGAGTACGCAATTGTGATTTCTGCGAACAATTTGATTGCTTTTTTTATTTATTTAATTTTTGATGTGGGTTTGATCAAAACTGGTGGTGGAGTTGCAGATTGAGTTGGCGAAGATCCTGTTGGAGACGGGGCAGAGTCATTTGTTCGAGCATTGGGCGGAGCCTGGTGTCGACGACGAGGAAAAGAAAGCTTTTTTCGATCAAGTTTGCTGGTTTTTTTTTAATCAATTTGCTAAAGATTTTTTCTTTTCTTTCCCGAATTTGAGA